TGCGACTCCTCCAGGCTGGCATTCACAATATCGAAGGCGTTCCTGTTCTACCTGGCGATAAAATCTTCCCGCAGTCCAGGGTCGTTCCCATGGGCTGGTCCTGGGCCTGCTACTTTGCTCAGTCGGCTACCACGTCTCTGGTGCATCGTTTTTCGGTCTCTGGAAGTGGCAGCCTCCTGGAATCCTATAAACCCCCTCCTGGACTCGATCGACCGGCTTTCAATGTCCACATCGATAACATCAGCGTGTTTGGCCGGGGTAAGTCGCAGACCGACAGCATTGCCAACGAAGTTTTCGACTGCTTTGAGAGTGTCGGTTTCAGAGTGCACGAGCGCGCGTCTGCCAGCCCAGTCTCCCCCGCTTTCGGCGAGTGCTGGCATCGGAAGGGGCCAGTGGGGAGCAGATGCCCCTTCCCTTTTCGCCTGCTCGCCGGCATTCTGGGCGTGCTGTCGATTCACGGCTCTCACGAGGAGGTGCTGGCGCTGGCTCTGATGTTCTGCTGCTACCTGAGGCCGTCGGAGCTCCTGTCTGCGGTCGAGGGCGACCTCGAGCCCGTGGCGAACGCGGGCCTGGCCCTCGCCTGCTGGAGTCTGCTCCTGCGGCCGTTCGAGAGGGAGGAGCCGACGAAGGTGGGCCAGTTCGACGACGCGCTCCCGCTGGACAGCCACGACTTCCCCGGCTTGGGGGGGCTCCTTGCTGGCTTGCGCGGCGGGGGCCCGGAGGTCTGGCTCTTCGGTTTCAGCCAGACGCAGCTGCTGCGCCGCTTCCAGGCGGCGTGCCGCGCGGCGGGCCTGGGCTCGCTGAACCTCGAGATGTGCCAGCTGCGCCACGGGGGAGCTTCGAGGGATTTCCTGATGAAGACTCGGGAGATCCAGGCGATCAAGCAGCGGGGTCGCTGGGCGAACGATCGCGCACTGCTTCGCTACATGAAAGCCGGGAGGGTGCAGAAGTTGCACATGGCTCTCTCTCCCGAGGCCAACCGTTGGTGCAAGGAGGCGGAGGCCAACCTCTCCCTCATCCTTCGTGGCGAGTGGCGGCCTGCGCTTCGGCCGCCCGGAGTCTGCCGCGGTCTCTCCGCGGCAAGTTCGTGATCGAGGTCTTCTCGGGCTGCGGCAGATTGTCGAGGTCTTTCGCCGAGCTGGGGGCCCCGGCGCTCATGTGGGACATCGAGCGCGGTGCGAAGGGCGACCTCCTGGACGGCAGTGTGCTCGCCTCGGTGCTCGCTCACATCGCTTCTGGCGAATGCCTCTGTCTCTGGCTCGGCACTCCGTGCACGTCTTTTTCGCGGGCCAGAAAAAATGATGGCCGCGGTCCCGGGCCCCTTCGAGACCTTTTTCACCCGGAGGGCCTTCCTGGGCTCTCGTCTCAGGACTGTGCTGAAGTTGCTAATGGAAACCTACTCCTCGAGGTTTCGCTGTTGCTGCTGCAGTGTGCTCATGCGCACGGGGTCCCAGCGGTCCTCGAGAATCCGAACACCAGTTTTTTGTGGGACACGCCTCAGCTGCAGAGTTTTCGGTCGTCTCACAAGTCTGATTTCACAGTGCTTCATTTCTGTCAATCTGGAGAACGGTGGGTGGAACCCACCCGCTTGCTACTCCTGTCGTGTCCGTACCTCTCGGCCGTCGGTAAAACTTGCAGTGGCCGTGGTCTTTGCTCCACGACAGGGAGGCCCCACGTGGAGCTTCGAGGAAAGGACCCGACCGGAACTTTTTGGACCCTCCGTGCCCAGCTGTACCCGCGCCTGTTCACCCGTGCTGTGGCCTCGCTCGTGATGTCTCATTCAGCCAGCGCTGGAGGCTCCTCTCCATAGGCCTCTGGCCAGAAAGCTACTCTGGTGCGGGGATGGGTGCTTTTCAGTGGCTCTGAGGGGCTGGTAGCCCGCCGTCCTGCTGGCTCGGAGGTTGTTGGCGGGATGACTTCGGGTCCCCGCCCACACTCCACTGGGCTAGCAGTGCGGTTGGGTTACCAGCCTCTTGCCACTGCGAGATCTGTGCCTCTCGCGATGCACGGTTTTACAGTCTTCGAGCCTCGTCGAGAAGCTCTCTCTGGCGCGAGAGTGAATGGAAAGATGGATGTTCCTTAGCTTGCGGGTGAATCCACCTGGATGTTGCGAGAGCGCCGTGGTGCCCACAGATTTGTGGCATATTTTTTGTTACGCCCCATGGCGGGGATCCCGAGATCCCCAATCCCCAGCGTAACAGAAAAATTCGGTTTGTCATATTGATTTGAAAGCAGTTGACTTCTGTGTCTGTAGTCCGACTTTTTTGGTCCCCTCCCTCGCTCCACCCTTTCTTTGGGGTGTTCTTCTGTGGCTCTGAGGGGTTGGTAGCCCGCCGTCCTGCTGGCTCGGAGGTTGTTGGCGGGATGACTTCGGGTCCCCGCCCACACTCCACTGGGCTAGCAGTGCGGTTGGGTTACCAGCCTCTTGCCACTGCGAGATCTGTGCCTCTCGCGATGCACGGTTTTACAGTCTTCGAGCCTCGTCGAGAAGCTCTCTCTGGCGCGAGAGTGAATGGAAAGATGGATGTTCCTTAGCTTGCGGGTGAATCCATCTGGATGTTGCGAGAGCGCCGTGGTGCCCACAGATTTGTGGCATATTTTTTGTTACGCCCCATGGCGGGGATCCCGGGATCCCCAATCCCCAGCGTAACAGAAAAATTCGGTTTGTCATATTGAGTTGAAAGCAGTTGACTTCTGTGTCTGTAGTCCGACTTTTTTGGTCCCCTCCCTCGCTCCACCCTTTCTTTGGGGTGCTCTTCCGTGGCTCTGAGGGGTTGGTAGCCCGCCGTCCTGCTGGCTCGGAGGTTGTTGGCGGGATGACTTCGGGTCCCCGCCCACACTCCACTGGGCTAGCAGTGCGGTTGGGTTACCAGCCTCTTGCCACTGCGAGATCTGTGCCTCTCGCGATGCACGGTTTTACAGTCTTCGAGCCTCGTCGAGAAGCTCTCTCTGGCGCGAGAGTGAATGGAAAGATGGATGTTCCTTAGCTTGCGGGTGAATCCATCTGGATGTTGCGAGAGCGCCGTGGTGCCCACAGATTTGTGACATATTTTCTGTTACGCCCCATGGCGGGGATCCCAGGATCCCCAATCCCCAGCGTAACAGAAAAATTCGGTTTGTCAGACTGATTTGAAAGCAGTTGACTTCTGTGTCTGTAGTCCGACTTTTTTGGTCCCCTCCCTCGCTCCACCTTTTTTTTGGGGTGCTCTTCCGTGGCTCTGAGGGGTTGGTAGCCCGCCGTCCTGCTGGCTCGGAGGTTGTTGGCGGGATGACTTCGGGTCCCCGCCCACACTCCACTGGGCTAGCAGTGCGGTTGGGTTACCAGCCTCTTGCCACTGCGAGATCTGTGCCTCTCGCGACGCACGGCTCTACAGTCTTCGAGCCTCGTCGAGAAGCTCTCTCTGGCGCGAGAGTGAATGGAAAGATGGATACACATATATATATATATATATATATATATATGTATATATATATATAATATATATATATATATATGTATATTACACTACATACATATATATATATATATATATATATATAAACACAAGATATTGTTGGCTCGCTTCGCTTCGCCACAACATCTGGTTCCTTATCCTATAGTGGTGTGCGGGTCTGGGCGCGTGCCCGACGAGACAGGCACGAAAAATTAGGAAGTGCGGATTGGAAAGAAAGGCGGCAATGGGGGCGAGATTGAGGGAGCATGGCGGGAGGCGTGGGAGTCGAGAAGCTGGAGGGGCGGACGGATGCGCGGAGGGAGGGGCGGGGAGTAGGTGGGAGGGGCGGGGACGGGGGCATGGCAGACGGCCAGACGGGCCGGCTGGTCGCGCGCGGCGGCGCCGCCGCCGCACGATTCTGCGCGTTGCGCGGCCTCCTCCGCTACCTATTTGTCGTATTTCATATCCTCCTTTCCTCCGGTTGTCTGTTATTTCTTCTTTGATCTTGCTTGTTGTTGTTGTTTTCATGTTTCGGGGGCTTCATGCTCCCTGGTTGATTCCGAAACATTAGTCGGGAACCACGAGGGATAGGCTGCGTGGTCGGCGTCGGCGGCAGAGGTAATATGGCGCCCCCCAGAGCCATGTTTCACATCTAGACGCAGATTTTCGATGGATTTTGGGTTGTGGTCACGTCTCCGGAGCCGCCTTTTCCCCAGAGCATACCGAAACATTAGTCGGGAACCACGAGGGAGACGCTTTGTGGTCGGCGTCGGCGGCAGAGGTAATATGGCGCCCCCAGAGCAGTTTCTCACATCTAGACGCAGATTTTCGATGGATTTTGGGTTGTGGTCACGTCTCCGGAGCCTTCCCTAGAGCATACCGAAACATTAGTCGAGAACCACGAGGGAGACGCTGCGTGGTCGGTGTCGGCGGCAGAGGTAATCCGGCGCCCCCCAGAGCCATTTTTCAAATCTAGACGCAGATGTTCGATGGATTTTGGGTTGTGGTCACGTCTCCGGAGCCCCCTGCTCCCTAGAGCATGCCGAAACATTAGTCGGGAACCGCGAGAGAGACGCTACGCGGTCGTGACGGGCGGCAGAGGTAATCCGGCGCCCCCCAGAGCCATTTTTCAAATCAAGACGCAGATTCTCTATGGATTTTGGGTTGCGGTCGCGTCTCCGGAGCCCCCTGCTCCCTAGAGCATACCGAAACAGTAGTCGGGAACCGCGAGAGAGACGCTTCGCGGTCGTGACGTGCGGCAGAGGTAATATGGCGGCCCACACAGCTAGATGTTCTAGATCTAGACGTAAATTGTCGATGGATTTTTGGTTGTTGGCGTGTCTCGGGAGCCTCCTGCTCCCTAGCGCATACCGAAACAGTAGCTGGGAACCACGAGAGAGACGCAACCTTGTCGTTATTGGCGGCAGGGGCGAGACCGTGCCCCGACAACCATAATTCAGATCTAGGCGCCACATGTCGATGTATTTTTTATATGTGCTGCGTGCGGGTGTCCAAACCAACGCGCCCCCACCGCGCGGCTGAATTCTCACGTGCGCAGGAGGTATTTCAAGACGCGGCGGGCGTGTACCGGGCCGCGGAAGCAGCAGCGGCGAAGTTGAGTCGGCACACCAACTTCCCGTACTCGCACTTCTCCGTCTGCTCCTGGTGCGGCAGGGTGGCCGGCATCTGGCCATGGCGGGTGCCGACGGCCGCCGCGGCGAGGCAGTGGCCGGCCTGCGCCCCCCACGCGAGACTTGCTGGGCCGGGCGCCGGGGCCAAGGCCCGTGACCCAACCGGGGAGTTGGCTGAGGTCAGCCGCTGCTTGGCGGGCGGAGAAGTGCTCTAGCCCGCAGCCCCGGCAATGCTTGCGCATCTGTCGGGCCACCTCGTCTTCGAGGCTCTCCCTGTCCGGGTACGGGCGCGACGTCGCGCACGCCTCTGCTGCCGGCACGGTGCTGCGGCAAAGGGCGCGGTCGGAAAGGCCCGTCTGCCGGTAGGTGCGGAACCCGCGCGTGGTTTTCGTGAGAGCCGCGGCGAAGCATCCGCCACGCCCCGCCGCAGCGAGGCGGTGCGCGAGCATCCGGGGGCTCTGGCGGTACCTGGCGCCAATGCAAACCGCTGCTTGCAAAGACGGGTCTCGGAGATGCACCGCCGCGCTGCGGATCTCCTTGGAGACTCTATCTCTGAACCGATCTGGGTGTCCAAATCGGGCGCCGTTCATGACCCGCAACGCATCCTCGATGCCTGGCGCCGCTGTGATCCACGAAGGCAAGGAGCCTAGGCGGAGGAAGGGCCTGGCCTTCCTTTGCTCGCGGGCCTTGTGCAGGCTCGCCAACAATACCTGGAACATCGCGAAAGTGACGGAGGTGGCCGGGCCGCCACGTCCGGAAGTTGCCCCGCCGCGCTCGGAATTTGGCGTTCTGCGGCCTAGACCGGGCTTTGCAGGCGCCAGAAGCCCGACCTCCGAGCCGACCTCCCTTTCGCAACCTTTCCTTGAGGCCCTTGCACAACCAGCAGTGACCGCGTTTGGTCAACCGGTGGTGTGGGTGCTTCACACAAAACCGAACCTTCGGCCGGTTAGGCATGGCAGCGCCCGCCTGCCCCAGGTTGCTTCCCAGCGTCGGCTTGGGCCAAGGTGGCTACGTACGAAAGAGAAGTCGGGGCCACAGAGTGCAGTGGTTTGTTCCGGTGCGCGGCCCACATTTCCAGTCGTGCTGGGAACGGGTTTCGTGATATGGGGCGAGGCGGGGGGTGGGCCTGCAAGCTCATGTATTTGAACAGGCAATGTTGGGTTGGGCCCCAACTTGTACATTCTGGGGCCTTCTCGTCTTAAGTGCCCGCTGGTGCTGCTGCTGTTGGTCGGTGTCCTCCCCCTTGTCCTCCTCTTTTTCTTGTTTGCCCTTCCTCTCCCCGCTCGTACTCCTACTCCTGCCCCTCCCTCTCCGCCTTCCTCCTCTCCTCCTCCCCCACTCTACCTCCTCCTCCCCCGCCGCATGGCCGCCTTTCCACGCGTCGCGACGCGCCAGTCAAGGGGGCAACAGCCGAGCCCGGGCATGGCGGGCCAAAGGTTGAATCCCAAGAGGGCTTGCCACGCGCTGTGGCGCGCTCGGAGGGCCCAGGGGTTCCCGCAGCTTGCGTCGACGGCAGAATCGCCAAGTTCGGCGAGGCTGTTGAACGCGGCGGACAGAGAAGAATGCACGGAGACGTGAAGCGACGAATGGACGGACTTTCTGCGCTGCATCGGCAACTATCCGCAGCGCGGGGCGGCGGGCCGCAGCGGGCGGGGCCGCGGGGGCGCTCGGCGCGCGCTGGGGCGCCGCTTCGTCTTCAAAGTGGTCTTCAGGACGCCCTGCCTGGCAGCTGGTTTTTTCTTGATGGCCGCGTGGGTGGGCGCCTCGGGCGCGGAAGAAGCGGCGGACGCGGTCGTAGGCGACGCGATGGTCACGAAGGCGTTGTGCTTGGCCGCCCAGGCGCGCAACTTGTTCTGCACTTTGATGGGCACGTTCGGGTGGAGTGCCAGGGTGAAGTTCGTGAGCTCCGCGATGGTGTAGGACTCCGACGTGAGCTTCGTGCCGCGCCGCGTGATGGAGAGCCGGTTCGTGAGCGTCTTCGTTTTCACCGTCCAAGGCGTCTACGTGGGCGCGGCCGGAACCTCGAAGTCGGCAAAGAAGAAGTCTGAGAAGAAACATTCGTCCAGCAGCTGAATGGTGAGGTCGCCGATGTAGGTGGAAGCTTTCATGGCCGCTGCGTCCGAATTCCCGTAGGCTGCCCCCACCCAGACCCAGCTGCGGCCCTGAGTGGGGTTCGACGCAGCCATGGGGGGAAGGAGGCTTGCCGTCTGTTTGCAGACACCTGCCGGCGGCTCGGGAGTGCACCTGCTCGAGCGCACGGGCAGTCAGGGTGCTGAGCCCGTGGCGCTTGGCGGGCTGCGTGGACTTCAAGGTGCTGCCGTCGAAGGTGATGCGGGCCCCGGCGTTCTTGTTGTGCGCTGTGTCAATCATTTCGAACGCCATGGCGATGGTGTAGAGGGAGGCGTGCTGCCGCGGGCCGTCAGCGGCCGAAGTGGCCGGAGTCTTCGAGGTGTCCAGCAGCGCGTTCTTGATGGCCGACTTCGCAGGCACTGCGGAGGCCAAGGGGCGCGCGAGCCGCAAATTGTAGGTGCAGGAGCGCTTGCGGCGATGCCGATGCAATCTCGAGCCTCAAATGGCATGAAACGGCGGCGCAGACGTTTTTTTCCAAAATTGCACGCAAAGCCCAAGGGGGCGTAAGCCCGGAGCCCGACGGAGCCAGATGGGCCCCCACAACTTGCGTCGATGGGATGGCCTCTGAAAGGTTTGACCCGAGGAGGGCCCCCGAGGGCGAGGGCTATAGGGGAGTCCATGGGCACTTGTTCACTGCCACGCGCTGTGGCGGGATTGGAGAACCTAAGGGTTCCCACAGCTTGCGTCGACGGCAGAATCGCCGAGTTCGGTCGGGAGCATGGAAGATTGGAACGGTCCTAGGAAGTCACTTTGTCCGGCAGGCTGGTGTCTGTCTGTCTGTGACTTGTATATGAGGGGAGTTCACGCAGCCAGATGGGTTCCCACAGTTTGCGTAGATGGAATGGCCTGCCGAAGGTTTGACCCCAAGGGGCCCTCGTGGGTGAGAGCTGCAGGGGAGTCCATGGGCACTTAGTCACTTCCACTGAGGCATGTTGGGGCCCAGCGGAGGGTCCCAATGGGTTCCCAGTGCTTGCGTGTCTGTCTGTCCGTGACCTGTCTGCCCTTGCGTTTTCGGTCTGCACGTTGAGAACTCTGGTGTCGCGCGCGGTTCGACGAAGGTGTCCGCTCGGTCGATATCGACGGAGTCTGCGCTGAAACGGTGAAGTTCTGCTCGCTGGTACGTCTGCGTGAGGACATCGAGGGTCGAATCGTTGAAGGTGTCCACGATGTCGTTAGTGACTGCCAAAATCTTGCATGAAGCGCAAGCACGGGCGTCGCTGGGGTTGGGGAAGCAGAAGTCGATGGCTTGGCGGGGGCCCAGCAGGGTAGGGCACAATGCCAACTCCACGTAGCCGGGCGCACCCTCAAGTGCGTGCGTGGCGGGCGCGGCGCCGTCGCCGATGGTCTCTAGCCATGCGGCGTAGCGTTCATCTCTGTGCTGGCGGCGCTTCGTCGTCAGGGTGCACAGGTCGAAGGAGTCCCACGTAGTAGAGGGGCGCGCGCGCGCTCACGGCCGCTTGGCCGGCAGTGGCGACGTTGACGCACGACTTGCCGTTGTGTTCTGTGCATTGGTGGATGTACTTCGCTATGGTTGACTTCCCTGTGCCGGCAGCGCCGTGGACGAAAATGAATTTGGACTGGAGAGCGTCAATGCCGGGGACTATTGCGGGCGTGGCCGCGTGCTGGCGCGGGCCCTTACGCAGGAGAGCACGCAAGTCTTGGCAGTGGAGAGCGCGGGGCGTCTCGCCGCGGCGGGCGAGGCGGCAGGCGCGGGAACAGCTAATACATTGAGCACCTCGGGTCGGTCCTGCGCGGCCGCGGCCATGCGCAAAGAGCGCTGCCATTCCTCGCGGGCCGCGGTGAAAGCGAGGCCTCTGTCCAAGAAGTCCTTGGGCAAGTGTTTCTCGAACTTGTTGTGCAACGTGACTGGCGTCGCGTCGAGGTCGAGGGGGGCGACGAACGCGAATCGCAATTGGTGCGCGGTGTAGCGCAAGTCGACGAGTTCTTGGAGTACTCGGGAGGCCTCGTCATATTTCGCGAAAGTGCCTGTCGCGAGCATGGCCTCCTCGCGCGCGGGAAATTTGCGGCCGTGGTGGCAGAGGCAATTTTGGAAGCTCTGTTTGGGGAAGTGCAGGAGCATCTGCCGGAGGTAGAAGACTTCCTTCTGGCGGGGGTACTTCATCTCCAATCGACACACTGGCGGTTCACCGCGGCTCCGGACGCACGCGTAGTTCTGGTGACCTCCAGGCGCCATGTCAACGCATGGTCGGACGGCAATGTCTTTGGGGGTGCGATGCCACCGTTGGGACAGATTTGGCCAATCGCGCTCGGGGGGCACGGCGAGGTGAGTGCCGAACGTCCCAGGGAATGAAGCATCGGAAGCTCACGGGGCAGACCTTGCCGACAATGAACCGTTCGAAATAGTCGTTGTACATGCAACTCTTGAAGGGCTCATGCATGGGGCGGTAGAAGGAGCGCTGGAGCTGTGACGTGCTGTGGTCCAGCGCATCTGCCTCGAAACCTTCGGAGAATGCAACCCTGTCCTCGTCTGGAAGGTGTAGGGGTAAGCATGAAACTGTTGGGGCGCGGTCGTAGGTGGTGTACCCGAAGATTCTCCACGCGCATCCGGTGGCCACGAGGTAGCGCCCGCGGAGCCAGTCCGTTATTTCATCCACTGCTTGATCGTCTGATCCAATGGAGTACAGCGTGTGGCCCGGACCCTTGAACAGGCATTTGAATATGTATTCGAACTGGTTGACAGACCCGGCGAATTTCACGTTTGCATGGCCGTCCCATTTCAGCAGTATTCGAGGGGAGTACTCGACGACGAGCCGATTGCAACATACGTTGCGGCGGCCGTAGACGGGGCCATTGGACTGGCAATTAGGGCAAGTGCCATTGCACGGGCGCCGGCGATGATGCGGGTAGCCTTGTGCGTCGAACTCGGTAAAGTCCTGGAAATGCCATGGGCAGCCTTTGAGGCATTCCTGCTCGGGGTCGTCGGGGCGGCAGGAAGCATTGCACCGATGGATCATGTGAGAGAGGACGGCTTCGCGTAGTGGGCCAGGTGTTGCATGGGCCTCGCATGAGAT